GGATTTAGGGGTTTAGGGTTAAGGGTTTAGGCGTTTAGGGCTTTGAGGGTTTAGGGGTTTAGGGTTTAGGGTTTAGGGTTTAGGGTTTAGGGTATCCCTACCGACTTCAGTATAATTCGCCGGATGTTTCAGAGTTGGAGTTGGCAGGTAGCTCCCCTTCAGCTGGATGGTAGTTGAAGTCCGCCCGCTGTACCTCGCGCTCTGCACCGAACCAATTATAAACAGGCTCGGTATTTCTCTACATAGACCGAAACCCTCACCCGGAAGTCATGTACTATAGGGGCCTATATAGGTAACACTACGAATTTCTTTATTCCAAGTAAACTGGGCCTTTAGGCCCTATTCCAAGTTTTAAGTCCCCCATATGATAAGCCCCGGCATGACTCCCTTTCATGTGAAAAAACTGCTGAGCGCAGCGCAGGGTTCAGGATTTAGCGCAACCCTAAACCCTAAACCCTAAACCCTAAACCTTAAACCCTAAACCCTAACCCTACAGTCGCAGGTTCAGGGTGTAGAGAGTCGAATGTGGGGCTTCCCCAAGCCCTACACCCCATCAGGATTTAGCAGGGTCTGGGGTTCAGGGGCCGATTTAGATACTATAGAAGCTTAAATAATTACAAAAGTCATATAGGGTTTTGGGGCCGATAATACTACAATTCGATCAAGGAACCCCCAAACCACCATTCTAATTATTAAGGCCCGTACATTATTTGTTAGGGTTCCTTGATGTATGATCAGACTACAAAAAAGCTCGAAACCCTCTTCTAATTGGGCCCTGCATTACCTCGCTCCGGCAGGGTCTGGCGAAGAAGATCATGTCTTATCTGAAAGGTCGCCGGCAAGGAGTCAGCAGGACGGTAATATAGGGTAATCTAGGGTTTAGGGTGTAGGGTTTAGGGTCTTAAGAATTATGAGGTTTAGGGATCCTATCGTACTCTTTTGGGGTTTCGGGCTTAGAGTATAAGGTTTAGAGATCCCATATGACTGGCTGAGCGATGATTGCAAGATTTTGAAGACAACCCGTCGTAGATGCATCTTGCATTTTATCAAGCATCACCAAGCCAGCACGAAGCGTTGAAGCACTGGCAGGCTTGCAGGCAACAGCAGCTCGTTTGTTCCGATTCCTGGTATTTACCAGCTTTCCTCCAGGGTGGCATACCTCACACTGTTTTTCCAACATGGCGCTTCTCACACCCATGCTGTCAGTGTCAGGCATGCTTCACAGTTTGGAAGAAGGTTGCACGTATCGTTGCACTGGCGTAGCCGTCACAGTAAGACCACCGACTTTTTATGGATTGGTGTTGCCGATGCTCCCCATGGCCGGCATTTCCTAGGTAGTATCAGGGAGACCCCCTAAAGGGGACCCTTCTCAACCCTACTTCTGGCTCACTAAAAAGGGACCTTATTGAGAGGGTCTATATCCCCAAGGGTCCCCCTAGTCCTAACTCCTACTAAACTCTAAACCCTAAACCCTAAACCCTATTTGATTATTGAGAGGGTCTATATCCCCAAGGGTCCCCCCTAATCCTAACTCCTACTAAACTCTAAACCCTAAACCCTAAACCCTATTTGACTATTGACAGGGTCTGTATCCCCAAGGGTCCCCCTTATCCTAACTCCTACTAAACTCTAAACCCTAAACCCTGGTTGATTATTGACAGGGTCTATATCCCCAAGGGTCCCCCTTATCCTAACTCCTACTAAACTCTAAACCCTAAACCCTAAACCCTATTCGATTACTGAGAGGGTCTAAATCCCCAAGGCTCCCCCTAATCCTAACTCCTACTAAACTCTAAACCCTCAACCCTAAACCCTACTTGATTGAGAGGGTCTATATCCCCAAGGGTCTCTCCTGTCCTAACTCCTACTAAACTCTAAACCCTAAACCCTACTTGATTGAGAGGGTCTATATCCCCAAGGGTCCCCCCTAATCCTAACCCCCAGCATTGCCCATGCAGGACCGACCACGCCTCTGAGAAGCTCCTGCCAGTCAGCTTCGTCGAGAAGGCGCCAGGGTCTTTCTTGGTTTAGGGTTTAGGGTTTAGGGTTTAGGGTTTACCCTAATCCCAAAGAACCTACCTTTCTAAGGACTTTATTTTAACCCCGAAGAACCTACCTTTCTAAGGACTTTACCTTAACCCCAAAAAACCTACATTAAATTCTTAGGACTTTGACTTTACCTTAGCCCCAAAGAACTTACATTTAATTCTAAGGACTTATACGAAGAAACTATCATAAGGAACCCTGAAAAGGTAGGTTGTTTGGGGTCCAGGTAGGGTTTAGGGTTTGCCTTCTCATCGGATCGAAGAAGGAAGCGCATGCACAAGGGTTCTCTTGTCAGGATTTCAGAAAATGCGCGGTTCCCCATCGGGGGATATATAGCTGCGACATTGGAGCATCCGAAGCCCCACCTCAACCCTAAGGCCCTAAAGCCCTAAACCCTAAACCCTAAACCCTAAACCCTAAACCCTAAACCCTAAACCCTAAAGCCCTAAACCCCAAAGCCCTAAAGCCCTGGTGCAGCACGCGTCGACGCACTAGTGCAAGCACTGCTCTTGAAGTCGCGCAGCAATGGGCAATGTCAGCATCGACAGGACGTTCGTGAGCGATTGCGGGTCAATGTGTGTACATATTCATAGATCCATGTATCTACCCATCTAGGTGGCTATGTATGTACCCATCTATCCATCTACCCATCTCCATATATCTGTCTATCTATCTATCTATCTATCTATCTATCTATCTGTCTATCTGTCTATCTATCTATGTTACTATCTGAATATCTATGTATCTATCTCGCTATACAGGTGTATGCATGAGCGGAGGCTTGAAGCATCATTTGTGCTACCTTCCATGTCCACCCACCTCTTACTGGGCTAGTTAGATTTTTTGAAAGGCGGAATTTAGGGTTTAGGGGGCGGTATCCTTCTTGTCAGGCTCCTGTTATCTAGGGTTTTATTTAACAAGGGTCCCCTACCTTCCGAAACACCATGGTGGCAGGGATAAAGGAGTCTAGTATAAGGCTTCTGAGGTGGATGCAGCGCTGTTTGACTAAAAGGCCCGACGGGCATGATTCCTGATCGCGAAAAAGAAGATCAGCCCCATTATGGGTTCACGGTGCGGTGTCTGCAGTTTAGGATTTAATGTGCGCTACGGCAGATCCCTGAAGCCCTTCATCGGCAAACGTCGAGCTTGAATGTTGTATTTTACACGACTTGGTAGTCATGGTATCCATGCAACAGGAACACAGCATGTTGGGTGCAGAGGCAGCAAGCACAGAACACAGGTCTTGTGTCCAAACATGGTACTACAATACAAGAGGCATTACGACGATGACAAAGCCTGGGATGGCTTTAAATCTATAGCAAGCGCAGCGTGCCTAGCGCTAACCCCTGAGCCCTAAACCTGAAGCTCTTACAGAATTTTCCTATAACGCATAGAGGGATCCTAAACCCTAAACCCTAAACCCTAAACCCTAAACCCTAAACCCTAAACCCTTTAAGGCCAGGAGGTCCCTTTATGGCCGGGAGGTTTCTGACGTAAGGGGAATCTCTACCAACGCGGAGGTTAGCTCGTGTTGAAAGCAGCGTTGTTTCTTTAAGCATTTTTAGTGTAGTATATTTCGTAAGACCCTAAACCCTAAACCCTAAACCCTCAGGGATAATCGGAACTTAAGGTAAGCAAGGTCCTCCAACAAGAACCCCGTACTGTCTGAAAAGTCATCCTGCAGGTTTGGGACTGCATCCGGGGCGAGCAGATGGTCAGTCGGGACCCACGGCCGTGATGGTTTAGGGTTTAGGGTTTAGGGGGAAAGTCGGTTTTCCGGTCCAGAGTTGGGAAGTTTAGGCACAAGGGCGGGTGAGATAGCGTGAGGGGTTCGAGGTTTAGCGTGGGGAAGTGTAGAACGTGTTTACGGTCTAGGTTTTGCAGTGGTTGTCGTCGGTGGATTGCCGTGCAACCCTGTAAAGCACCCCACAGACCCTCAAGGAGCTCTACAAAAAACCCTACCTTTTTCAGGACTTGTATACAGAAACTATAATAAGGAACCCTCAAAAGGCAGGTTGTTCGAGGTCCAGGTGAATCATGCACCCTTATGTGACTTCCTATACAAAACAGTTTAGCAGCCATTGCCCCCTAATTTGTAGGTAGAACACAGGTAAACTGTAGGTAATTAGAGTCCCCTAAACCCTAAACCCTAAACCCTAAACCCTAAACCCTAAACCCTAAACCCTAAACCCTAAACCCTAAACCGAAACCTCCACAAAGAGCTCCTTTGGTCTCCGCTTGGCGTGCAGGAGGAGATCCGAAAACTGGAGAAGGAGATCGTGCACGAGTACACGGTACCCAAGGATGCCTCTAGCCTTTGAAGGGTTTAGGGATTAGGGTTTAGGAGGGGCTTAAGATAATTACCAAGACTGTTTTAGGGGTTCCTTGTTATTATAGGTATAGTATTGCACCAAAACCCTATTTAATTACAAGGGCTCCGCACCGGGCTTCTGTAGAGGTTTTTTATGGGTTTAGGTAGGGTTTAGGTAGGGTTTAGAGCTAAGTGTTCAGGGATTCGGGTGTAGGACTCAGTGTAGGGTTTAGGGATAAGGCTTTCCCTTTCGAGCCACAGTAGGCTGATTCGCTATTCATAGTGCAAGGAGATGTGCAGAGAATACTTGAAGATGCGTGGGTAGCTGTATAGGGTTTAGGGTTTAGGGTTTAGGGTTAATCGTGAATGCTCCCATCGTCGGGAAGAGTGAAAAATCATCCTTGCCACGCTCACAGGCTTGTGACAGAGGGGGGGGGAGGATTCATCTCTGGGCTTAAATAATTACCAATACTATGTAGGGGGTTCCTTATTTTGACTATAGTAGAATGGGCCCTTAAGGCCCCTATATTAGTCAGTAATACTCTTCCTTTGAGTTCCGTGTTCTGGTTATACAAGAACATGCCCAAAGCTCGATTCATTGAGGAACCTCTTGTGATAGCCTTCCCTGACAAATCTGCGGCATATACCTCTGCAAGCCCTAGCATAGCTACTGAGACCCTAAACCCTAAACCCTAAACCCCTACACCTCTGTTACACCTCTGTTGTATTCAAGCTGGGGTTCTGCTTGAGTGACGACGCGATATGCCCTGAGCCACCAAGCTTAAGGACGAGATGACCCTTAAAAGTAGGGGCCCTATACCCTTATACTATGAATCCCTATATGGTATATGAACCTTAAGCCCTTTTAGGTCTCATTTCGTCCTTAAGGTAATGGGCAGAATAGGGTTTTGGGCATATAGTATAATACGAGCAGCACCATAATAAGGAACCTTAAGCCCCTTTTAGGGTTCATTTCGTCCTTAAGGAAGCAACACCAAAGCTAAATCCGGCCGGCCTAGCCGGAAGTTTCCATGGAATGGCGAGTCTTTGAGGGGCTCTGGGTCAAGGGTTTAGGGTTTAGGGTTTGGTAGGGTCTCGGTTTAGGGTTTGGAGTTTTTGAGGTGTATTGGTCCTGGAGTCAGGACCTGGTCTCAGTGATTGCTGCAGTCTACCCGTGAACCAGCACTGCGCTAGACGTATCCGACATATCCCTACCGTCCCTACCCTGTGAGTTCCCATGAACTTCCAAGTATCTTATGACGCTCACACACCCACACGCTTGAATCCTGAATTCTGTCACAAAACCAAAATCCCCCATCCTGGAATCCTACCATGTGAACCTACACTGTGGCTTGAGCTTTCGGGTTTGAAGCCCAGCTCAGCTAAGCATGGCAAGGTTAAGCTCTCCGGCAGCCTTTCGAGTGACTCTGCGATGGCCGGATTTGCTTCGATGCCAGCCGCGCAGCAGGATTTCATCCACTAAGCACTCAACCACTTACCTCGACAGCCTGACCTGTGAAACCCCTAAACCCTAAACCGTCCTTGAAGTAGGAGCTGTTGCAAGGTCGTCAGTTAGGAAAGCTGGTGTATTCTTTATTCTTCATCGGTTTGAAGTAGGGACTTCTCTCGTGCAGCTCAAAGTGAAGCAGGTGCCAGCAATATCTGCGCCGAGATAACTCTTAAGGGCTTTTGCAGGTATACTTTGCGATTCGTCCGTAGGACTTCAATCCTGAAGAAACTCGAAGCAACAAACCAGGCTTACGGTTTAGGGGTTTAAGGGTGTGGGGCTTTTGGTTTTGGCCCAGCACCCACCACCCAGCACAAACGCGCCCCACCACCAACCAGCCCACCCCAGGGAAATTGCAGCTCCTCCTATGCTTGTCACAGAACCTGGTTCCTGTTCAGGACTTTAGTTTAAGTTTATCATGCTAGGGATTTATTCCGATGCTTGTGTCAGAACAGAAAGCTTGTGCGAAGCCACAAAGGGTGCGAAAACTGTGTACCTCATCCAAACCTCCCATGACCCGCAACGCAAGAGCTCGTGAGTTGGACCACACTCTATGTGACACTGAAAGGCTGCGAATAGATCGACCGGCGCATGTCACTGTCCGTGAAAACTAAAGGCGTTTTAGTGCTGAAGCGGTGTCTCTGCCCGAAAGTAAAAATGCGCATCAACATGGTATATCTAGCCTCAAGCGCAAACCGGCAGAACAGGCCCCTGCACGGACCGCCCACCCTGGGAGGTGGGGTGAGTGGCTGGTTGGTGCTGGGGTGGACTGGGTGGTGTGGTGGTGGGGTGGGGTGGTGCTGTGGGGTTAGTTGGTTGGTGGTGGGGTGGACTGGGTGCTCCTTTGCTACCACCTACAAGGAAATCTTGGCTGGCAAGTCGACTTCTGCTGTGCACTTCGGGTGGTTCTGCGGCCCTCGCATTTTGTCCAACCTTCTTGGAGTGGTCTTACTACCTTCCCGGCGTCCCAGTATTTATTGCTTCATGTTCATTCCCTCAAAGTCCATGTACCCAAATAGTATATACTTTGGCCCCAAAGTACCTATATAGGGACTACATGAAGGCAAAAGTATATACTATTTGGGTACGTGGACCCTTAGCGGATTGTCCTTGTGGCATCTCATTTGTCGCGAACCATAAACCCTAAACCCTAAACCGCTAACGTGCAAGCTCACTGCAGGTTCTGCACACGCCGCAGCGGACAGTCCGGCAGGACACATCGTGTCACCGAAACAAAGAAGCCACGTTTAAAACACCATGGTGTAGGGTTTAGGGTTTAGGGGTTTAGGGTTTAGGGGTTTAGGGTTTAGGGGTTTAGGGTTGAGGGGTTTAGGGTTAAGGGTGGAGGAGTTTAGGGTTTAGAGTTTTCGGGTTTAGGGTTACTTCATGCAGCTGCCGGAACGGGGCCCGCAACAAAAGCAGCAACTCCGAAGCCTTCCGACGCCAGACACAAAACAACGACCGTGGAGAAACCGGATGAGATGCGGTGACGTTTGGGCTAGAGACAACCTAGTCACCGCAACTATGCTTATGTAATTATATATGGGTAGTTTTCTAAATTAGGGTCCCTTTTGGGGTACCCTAAATATTAGGTGCCGTATTATAATAAGGACCCAAAAGGGGACCCCAATTTTGACGACCACCCATATGTAGTGCCTTCACCCGAGAAAGCACTGTGGTCGGCAGCTCGGAGGCTTGATATTAGGGGGTTGTTCCGAAGGTCCTGTCAAAGGAGGGACCGCTGGAAATACACAATATACGGGCCTTAAAAAATTAGAATAGGGTTTTGGGGCCATTATACTATATTTATAAAAAGGACTCGTCGGTTTCGCCTCGCTGCAAGAGGCCGTAGTTGCGAAATGTAGACTGAAAACCCCAATTACACGGTTTCGGGTTTAGGGTTTAGGGTTCAGGGTTTAGGCTTTATGGCTCAGGGTTTAGGGCTTAGGGCTAAGCCGTAAAGGCAAGGAGCTCTAAGAACCAAGGAACCAGGGAAAGCAGGGTGTCGCCGTTTCCTGGTAACAGCTCCAGGGTCTAGGGTTTAGGGTTTAGGGCCCCTGCTAATATCAGCCCTCCCCAGGAAGGTACGTCTTGTGTGAGACTCCCCTCCGTAGCAACGCTACCTTGACCGTTTTAAAGACCTTTGATGTGGCACTCCACAGAAAATGTTGGTTTTCGTGGGGTCAGGGGAGATTCTGCCCTCAACCCTAAACCCTAAACCTCAGGGGAGAGTCGGGATTTCCACCGAGACTTAATTGACGAGTGCAGGACCCGAGCGAGGTCCTCTTCAGCGCAGAGAAGTCTGCAGGTCAGGGTTTAGGGTTTAGGGTTTAGGGTTTAGGGTTTAGGGTTTAGGGTTTAGGGTTTAGGGTTTAGGGTTTAGGGTTTAGGGTTCAGGAGGATGTTGCAGATTGACGACGGCATAGGCATAAGCTAGGCGCTTTAGGGTTTAGGGTCTAGGGTAGTGGTCATGGGGTGTGTGTGTGTGTGTGTGCTTTGCGGAGGTATGTTGGTTTGGAGGTGTATATTGGATTTGACTGCAGAGTTTAGGTTGTAATTAATATAGCGGCACTCTGAACGAATAGGGATTTGGAGTTTAGAGTTTAGGGTTTAGGGTTTAGCTTTTTAGGACTTCCGTAGCAGAGTCGTAGTATGAAGGCATCTGGGGTCATTTGTCCTCAGAGCGGGGTTGAATCGGCCGCATTTAAGCTCCAAGAGCCCACCCTATTTAAGCCCTGTAGCCCTATAAGTCCTAAAACGGTACAGCGTCTAGAGTTTAGGGTTGCCCTGAACCCGGAAACCCTAAAAGAAGTCTAGGTGAGCCCTTAGCCAAGGATCCTAAAGCCTGTGTAAGCCTGTACCCGAAACCACAAACCCTGAAGCCCATAAAGGAACCCGAGAAGTTGAGACCCTGTCTTAGGGTTGGGGGTTTCGGGCGTAGGGTGTTGGGGTCCAAAGGCAGTGTGTTCGCTTAACGGACATTTCGAGCCGCATCAACTCGGGGTTGGGTTCACGGATGTTGCCAGTTGGGATTCTTTCGAGGTGCAAGCCTTTCCTGGAATTCTTTGGACCTGTCGGTCCCTTCCTGCACAATGGTCATTGCGCAGGTAAGTGGGTGCAGGACGCTTCGCACACTGGCAACCCGCAGCAACTGCTCCAGGAAATCTCGCGATTCCAGCCGGATGCGGAAATACTGTATGCTCTTCGGCAAATCATCTTCGCATTTGGTCCTTGAGGCCTCCTCTGCCGGGCCATGCGCTCCTTCGGTCGACGCTCCTCCGACGATGCCGACCGGTGCAGATCACGTGAGCAGGGTCTCGACAGGACAGGCTGAAGTTCAGGTCCGAAGGGCAGTGGATGCCGAGGCGGCCCCACCGAAGGCTCTATTGCGAAAGAGCAGAATTGGAAACCCGGATCGTCCGGCACCTGCTGACTTTGCTGAAATTTCTTGATCTCTGCAAGGATGCCGCAGTTCTCCAGCCTGCGCCAAGCAAAGTCCGAGGCCACCCCGCCACCGCTGATCGGGCACAGGAGGAGCCCGCACGACCTCTCACGTCCCGTGGACCTTGCATTCAACTGTCCAAGTTCAGTACACACGAGCGACAGGCGTTGCACACTCAAGAGCTAAACTGTCTGTGGGGGATTAGCAACAGATCGCTGCATGGTAATTTGAGTTGGATTAAGAGCTCGTTTGTGTGGGCCGCAATTTCGTGTATGCTGAGGGGTCGATCTCGGGTTTAGATGGGCCGCGATAACGCGACATACCAAAGACGATATGGCTATCTTTTGCTGGAGGATGTCGTCCTCCTTTGAAGCTCCTAGCCTAGCCTGAAAGTTGCGAAGCATCGGTCGGTTACCGACGACACTAAACGTTAAACCCTTAACTGTAAACTGTAAACCCTACACCCAGGACACGAAGCCCTAAATCCTAAACCCGAAGCCCCCCATCCGAAATCCCCAGCCAAGATGCCCGACCCCGAAACCCGAAAACATAAATCCTAATGACGCATGCTTAAACCTTTAACCCTGAATCTCCAAGCCCAACACGGCCGATTCGTCCTGAGGCCCCCGCGACGGCGAAATGGAGAAGCTTCTCGCCGTTCGAAACGCATTGGAGGCTGGTTTAGGCTGTAGGACTCAGGTTTAGGGGTTATACTACCGGGTTCAGGATGTGGGATTTGTGATGAAGGCTTAGGGGTACTTAGAAATATTTAGTAATCTTTGGCTACTATAAACCTAAGAAGCAGCTAAAATT